CAAACCAACCCACTGCCGGCCCAACATCTCGGCCTCCTTCTCAGCCAGTCAGCCCAATCCCGACATCACCGCATACACACGGCAACCCACTGCTACCGTCTCCATCAGAACCAACCAGACCACCGTCACACCCAACGGCCAAAACAACCACAGTCCCTCCCCCTAATCCGATGACCACCCGCAGCCGAGTGGGAACCTTAAAACCCAATGTACCATTCAACCTCACCACTCATATATCTTCCCCATCCCCGCTGCCCAAATCACCAATTGCCGCCCTACATGACCCGAATTGGAAATCGGCAATGCATGATGAATTTAATGCTCTTATTAAAAATAAGACATGGGAGTTGGTTCCACGTCCTCCGGGGGTTAATATTATTCGTTGTATGTGGTTTTGCAAACATAAGTACAGGTCGGATGGCACACTTGAGCGGCACAAGACACGTCTGGTTGTTAATGGGAAGTCTCAGCAAGTCGGAGTCGACTGTGACGAAACTTTCAGTCTCGTGGTAAAACCAACGACAATCCGCACTATTCTTTCCATCTCTCTCTCAAAGTCAGGGTCCATACATCAACTTGATGTCAAGAATGCTTTTCTACACGGACACCTTGACAAAACAGTGTACATGCATCAGCCGCCTGGCTTTCGGGACTACTTTCGTCCTCAGTTTGTCTGTCGACTCCGCAAGTCCCTCTACGGACTGAAACAGGCCCCCCGGGCATGGTATCACCGGTTTGCTACCTTCGTTGAGTCCATTGGTTTTGTTCATAGCAAATCGGATCACTCACTCTTTGCGTATCGACGGGGTCATGACATGGCCTACCTTCTGCTGTATGTCGACGACATAATTTTAATAGCTTCCTCTGACCCCCTGCGACGAGACATCATTTCTCAGCTGAGCTCAGAATTTTCTATGACAGATTTGAGCCCTATTTCTTTTTTCTTGGGTATCCCTGTTCAGAAACATGCCGGTGGACTCTTTCTTTCTCAACGAAAACACGCCAAGGAAATAATTGCGCAGGCAAACATGTCTTCCTGCAACTCTTCAGCCACGCCTGTTGATACAAAGGCGAAGAGGTTTTGGTGCTTGGAGTGGCCATGGAATTGCCGAAGAAGGGAAATGAAGAGGGTTTGGAAGAGGTAGGAAAAAAATTGCTCTGACTCCAAGATAGAAGGTAATATTTGCCGTGAATCTTTAGTGTTTCATTACTCACGATATATAGGGATTTACAAAAGCAAAAGAGGTAAGAGTTACAAAAGGAAACTCCTACACTAACCATATGAGGAAATCTATACAAGGTAAATATCAATTAGATATTATACTAAGAATATATTCTATATTCTAACAATCAATTAGATATTATGACAATAAATGCTAAGAATATATTCTATATTCTAACACTTTCAATATGAAGGCGTCACTAGGCATACAGAGAGAGGCACCACCAACAAAAATGCAATCTTTAGGTGCAGAGAAACTTCTGAATAAATGAGAGCCTGAGCAATTTGGCCGAAATGCATCCTGATTCAGGGAGGAGTAGAATTCTAGCTAGTCGAGTCAGATGTCGTGAACAGGACTCTCAACCTGGAGTCACAAATAGAAGTGATTTGCTAAAGATGAATTAGAGACACCAATTGTAAGAGAGTTGATGGCGAATAAGTTGATATATCTAGATAGATCTTATAATCACAATTCAATCCACATCTGAACTAATTTGACTGTTATGGTGATAATGGTGATATAAAAAATGTAGCATTTTTGTGTATTTGTGCATGTTGGTATTCATTTATGTGTCAGATACGCATAATTTGTAGTTTATACTGCTATGCTACATTATCTTTTATGAGGCCATGTACTTATTCTGTTCTCTTGTGTCCTATTGGTTTGTGGCGTTTCTGATTTGCGCTGATCATGGGTGTCTTTATTTTTTGACTCATCTCAGGAAAAGAAAAGAAATGATAACCCTTAAATTCCTGCAACTTCACAAAAACTCCAAAGTTGCGGTGAGGGTTGAGGGATATAATTTAATATTCTAACATTGCCAAACCTGGACTTGTTGAGCAATATATTTTTTTTTAATCCACCTTAGAAATTTGTCTTGTGTAAGATTCGAACCTGGTTTTTCTTCAAGTACACCAAAACTTTAAAGTTGGGTTGAGGGTTGGGGGTTATGCTTTTATACTCTAACAATAAGCATTGCTTTGTATAAATTATGCAAATGATTTTCATATGTAAAAAAATAATAATATGTTTATTTTTCAACCTCCACATGTTCATTCCGTACACATTTGTTCTAAAGGAAGTTTTGTATTTCCATAATTCCATGCATTTCAATGATGAAATATTTTGTTTTTCTATTTATTTATTTACTTTTTTAGTGGAGAGAAGATAGTGCATAAATGATATGCAATGTCTGATAGATGTGGGTAACATGGGACAGTGTAGCAAACCACGACTTGGGTTCAGTTGTCCCGAATTCGCGGTGGAACAATATCTGATTCAGCTAACTTTAGCGACCCGATTTAAAATTCAAACCAATTAACATTTTGAAAAAAAGCTTTTTTTCAAAAGACTATACAACAAAAGACATGAAAACTTAAGCAAATAAAGTTTGCATACCTTAATTGCAACATTATTCTCGAGATTCCTTTACCATTGCTGTGCTGATATGAACTAAGCATTTCTTAAATCAGACTATTGTAAAACTTTGATTCCCACGTTTAAGAACCAAACCTAAAACGTACCACGTTCCCTAGTGTACCATTTAAACATAGTCCGTTGTACCCGATTCCTAATGAGTGGCGTACCATGCTCCCATTCCCGTCCCATGAACCAAAACGAACCGGATTCCATGCAACTTTACCTTGAATGAAAAAATGACTAGTGAAGTTAAATTTGTGCCAATGCTTTCTCTGCATATATATATTTAATATCAGTTTGCTATGGAATAATTTTTCATGTGCAGTCCTGATCAAAGAGAGATTGGTTTACTTGGTTTCACTAAGCTAAGCACTTGGTTACTGGATTACTTTCAGGTAGATAATGGCTTCCCTGCTAAGAAACTAGTTTCTTTCTCCAGTCAGAAAAGCTTTCCATCTGTACGGTTGCGACACCTCCAGATCTGCTGTGCTGTATGGTTCTCTAACCCTCATCTCTTGTTGTTTAATATTTCATGCTGCCATCCTTTTTCCCCCCTCTTGGTGTTCTTATATAGAAATCCCTGAGAATTGATATTTTTTTATCATTCAGTTTTTATTATCTTATGGCTCATTTAAAACACACATTTATTATTAAGTTATTTATAGATATTCTTGTAATTGCTATGAGAAGCAACAATATTACAGTAGCATCAGGTCCTAGTTCCTATGTGCAAATGCTGATTTGATCAGTTAGTTTTGCCCATTCTTGATAGTATTCCCTGATGTCTTAAGTAATCTGCATGCAGCTATTTGTAGAGACATAGCCTGGATAGGTGTGTAAATACCCTGGATAGGTGTGTAATTATTCTTTATGTACAATTTAATACGTACATTCATATGTTAATGGACCAAGCTTACTTTTTTGCATAGAATCAAATATCTTCATATGTTCCTGTAACAACTAGTAAGTCAGTAGCATCAACAATCCATTTGTCTCAATAATATGGGCTCTATCCATTCCTTTTTGTGAGGGGTATTAGATAAATTAGCTACTAGTGTGTTCTTTATTGCCAATCGAAATCTTTTTTTTTTCTGCCTAATTCTTTGCAGTTCCCTTAACTATGTTTCTGTCACTATTGACCAGCACCTTCAGTTTTTCCCCACTCATCTCAAGCCATCTCAGCTAATTTTCCATTTTATTCTCTATTGGAAGTTACCTCAATGTTCTTGTAGTAACTTGTTTTCTTTTTTCCATCTCTTAGTTAGGTCACAACATTCTCATTTAATCTATACGTTTACAAATGTCTTTATTACCTAGCATTCTATCTAAAGCACGATTCGATCATATTGTTTTATAATGTCTCTTCTCGCGTACTTTTGTATTCATTTATCATATAGTACTCCAAAAGAACCATCTTCTTCACCATTTCTCCTATGTTGACATCCATCCCCAGGTTGTTAATGATTTATCCCTTTCAACAAATCTTCTTATAGTTCATTTTACTAGATTAGCTTCCTCTATAATTTGTCTAGGAATTACAACCCAATATAAATTTTATGTTATGCAAAAATATAAATACATATGTTGCCTTGTCTCTTGTCTAGAATTTGTACGATTCCCATGTTTATTGCCCTGCGTCTGTGCTGCAATCTGACATTTGTGACCCAGTTGACAAATCATAGGTTTTTATGAGTTAGCCAGCCCCCCTCATCATTTTGCAAACTCTTGGTTATAACAACTGTTCTTCGTACCATTTTGTTTGTTTAAGCAGCAAAAAAAAACCCTGTATTTATATTCTACAATCCGTAGTATGGAATTATTCAAAGGAACTTCTTTGGTTGCATTTTTGAAGCCTTCGCGCCCTCCCCCCCCCCCCCCGACAAAATGATCATCGCTTTTTTTGGTTGATGACAAGGCTGATTTGTTGCACAGGCCAAACAAGAGACGGTAGAGAAAGTTTGTGAAATAGTGAAGAGTCAGCTTGCACTTACTGAGACTCCTGTTACCGGCGAGTCAAAGCTAACTGATTTGGGTGCTGATTCACTTGACACGGTACTATGTTTTTCCTCTTACCCTGATATGTTGCAGGAAAATAACTAACCTACAGAAAAGTGCTCGGAATTTATTGTTCTGGATATCTGCTGAAAACTATGTAGTTCCGACTAACATATTCCCTAGTTCTTACTTTGGGTTAATTGCGGATACAATATCTGAAGTCTGAACTATGATGTTGTAAGCTATATATGCCCTCTAAAACTAAGTTACTTTTACTTTTGTGCCCTCTATTTAAGTTACTTTTACTTTTGTGCCCTCTATTTATGAGAAAATTAACTATTTTTCTCCAGTTAAACTGGTTGCAAAGGTAATTTATCGGCACATGATTCTCACGTGATATCTAAACACGTTCTAGAAAATAATGTTATTCAGAGTTTAGGGAGTATAATTGCTGATAAAACGGTTTAAGGCGTATATCTGGATATTCAGGGGCATATCAGAACTTACCCTTATTATTTCGCATCGACTCGTTTTGAAGTGATTTGGTTATTATTATTATTATTATTATTATTATTATTTATTATTTCTTTATTTGACATTTGTGATTTATGGAACTTTTGGGCTTTCTTTTTGTAGGTTGAGATTGTGATGGGTCTCGAGGAGGCATTTGACATCAGTGTGGAGGAAGACAATGCACAGAATATCACCACTGTGCAGGAGGCTGCTGATCTCATTGAGGAACTAGTAGAGGCAAAGTCGTCGTCGTCGTAAATGGAGGGACTTTATCAAAATTCTTTTAAAACTTTAGTCTCTTTTGTTAGCTTATCTCTCAGGTTAGTGGTAAAATGTTGCATTGTCCTAGGCTGTTGTCATCAAACTGTATTAACTTTTTAGCTAAGCTGTCGGATTCTGAGTTAAATATCATATTCGAAGATGCTATTGTTGAAATATTTTGAATTTAGTTGCAGTTATGAATTGTGACATGGATGACAGCCAAGTTAGTTTGCTGAGTTCTCTGGCAATTGATCTCAACAGGGATCAAAGGAGAGATATGGTCTTCCTAGTCTATAAAAATAACGATATTTGTCTAGTAAAGAAAAATGATTGGAAAGGTGAAGCAAAGAAGTTAGGAGGAACACGGTAGATAAGTGTTTTGAGCAGTCTGGATATCTGTATGGCTAACAGAAAGAGAGGCAAGGTGAGAATTATGTACTGATAGAAGACTGCTGAATGAAATTGAACTGGGAGTAAGGTGGAGGGAACACCAGAAAAATCATCCAAATAACTTCTGAGGACTGGAAACCAACTGACCAAGTATTGATGGAGGTCAGTGTCTTAAGAGTTCAGAAATATGAAAGATGTTTACAGTAGGAAATAGGAGTGCATTCGGTCCGGATATGGCCCGGGTATGATACTTATCATATCCATATCCGCTCACTCATTTCGGATACGGATATGGATACGGATATACCTCGATAAGGGAAATTCATATCCATATCCGCTAAAATTGAATACAAATACGGATAATACATGCAGATATATAAGCGGGATATGCATACAATATAAAATGGATATGAGAAAACTCGATACTGTTGAAAAAAATGTAGTTCATGTGATACGAAAGACGTCATTACTATGTTCATTATATCTGAAAAGCTGAGATTAGATAACTTGGTTGTCAAAATTAACCTCAAATCCATAATCTAAAGACTAAAACTATTGTAATAATAACACTAATATGTATTCAGATCTTTCGGATACGGTTCCGGATATTTCACTACAGAACCATATCCTTCTTATCGGTTATAGATTTGAGTAATCATATCAGTATCTTAACCGATACGGTTATAAAGATTTTCTTAGATACGGATACGGTTTAACACCCCTACTAGGAAGTTGTTCCAAGCGAACAAAAATAGCGAGTTATGTCGGTGGCAATTTTAAGATTGCAGTTCACCGTGTACATAACATAGATTCATAGTGTCAGATGGTATGATCATTGTTTGGTTCTTTTCAATTGCAAGAGTTGTATCTACAATTGCACACTGCGCGGATATTTTTGGCCCTGGTCAGCTGCAGGTGTTTGTCTCACTGTATCTAATAAACTTGCAACTGAAATTGCCAAAAAAAACTCGAACTGTAGTTAACGACTTACACAGTTCCTCACGTAAGGTGCAGTCACAGCCTTTCTTAGATGCAATTGGGTTGTAAGTTGCACCTAGATCTCCCACAGAAGTCAGAAAAATAACCTGACATCAGAAAACAAAGACCAACCGTTGCAGTTGCAGTTACAGTTGTATGGCAAAATTTTAAAACTGGATCAAACAACCGCAACAAAGATTACTTGCATGCAGCGTAGTTACAGCAATTGCACTTGCATGCATCTCGTGTTGCAGCGATAACAGCCGCAGTGAACCAAACAGCCCCTCAGTACGACAGTCAGATCGCGGGGGTTCGAAGAATTTTCAAGAAGATGCATGTTAGGATTGAGACACGTTAAACCTGTTTCAGTTAATAATTTGAATCAAGTAGAAACATAGATATCCTGTTTGAGTGGTCTAATAGTAGATTCATGGGCTTCTGCAGTGTTCATGTATATTGTATAGTATATCAATCGCCTGTAATTATATTCTCAAACAAATGCGACCCCAAGAAGACACAGATCCAATTCTTTATCTTTAAAAGGGTCAAGACTAGTTCTAGGAAACATAGGATAGTAAATTCAGGAATTATAGGATTGATTGTTATCTTAGGACGATTAACATGATATAGGTAGTGGTCATGAGAAGTCCAAGATCAATTTTGTATGGTTTTGTTGAGAAGCATGGCGAAGGGGGGATTCGGATCCTCTCCACTATCTAAAAAATAGTGGAGGGATCGCTACATAATCACAACCATTGATTATCTAATTAGTGGTTGTGATTTTTTCTTTTAATACAAATTAGGAATGAGTGCAATGCATAGGGTATGGTAAGTGTTAGATTTAGATTGTATCATAACCGTCTATTAAATAATCAACGAATAAGATTAAAAATAATGATCACTCCACTACTTTTTTTGTTGTGGAGAGTATCCAAATTCGTGAAGGGGACGGAAGGGGGAAAAACAGTTAGGTATCAAAACACAATTATTTCGTTTTCCTCCACCTCTTTTTCGGATTGACCCAATCAAATGACACCCCAAAAAGGGACAATTTTCCACAATTGTATAGTGCACTCAGCTTATCTTGAGAGCACATTTCAATCCTACCGATCATCAATCCATCAATCGCGTAAGGACTCCTCTTTCTTTTTCTTTTTCTTTTTTTTTCCACACACGGGGACATTTCGAAAATGACAAGCACCCGGAACCCCACACTCCCATGTTCGAAGATACCTTATCCTTGTCACCTAGTCCAACATGCCACGCTGTCCTTCTCCTTGCCATCACCAACCACCACATGACATGTGTAAAAAACACAAATCGTGGTCCCACTTCTTCGCCTTTATGGATACTTATCACATTGGAAATAAATATTCAATTATATGATTACTATTATATTTTTGATTTAACAGTTTGATTATGATTTAATCTATGCAATTTTATCGTGAGGCTCCAAGATAGAGAATATATCTTGAAAGAAAACCGGTGATGTTGCAATCTAACTACGCGTGTACTATTATTTCATGATCTAGAATGTTCTAGAAATGAAAAAAAAAGAAAGAAAATAAATGTTTCTTAAAGAATTACAATCTTAATTATTTGAGTTCAAATCATATTCTCATGTCATGCTTTAGAATCTTAGGCAAGAGTATGCGTATTCGTATGAGCAGAGCCCCAGGAGAAAATGAATACATCTACATGGGCAAGCGTGGGAAGACAAAACAAACAAACTGAAGGGTCCCCTGCGTGGTTATAATTTGTTTATCTCAAACAAGGTTATCCGTAAGATGGCGCGTGTAATTACACCGTAGCTCATGGTACTTGTTGAACATTAATTAATCTTTCTTTAAAAAAAAAAAAGCTTTTTCTCTCCCTTTTTACCCCCCTTCCCTTTTAAAACTCAGGCCTTCATCATGACCCCCCTCGCTCCCAATCCCCCTCCTACTCAATACCATCACAGCTTTTCTCCCCTCCCCTTCGGAACGCAAAACGCGCATCAATTACCCCTCCACCCGATGGCCACCGTCCTCCTCTGCTCACTCATCCCGCACTACCCCTCCTCCTCCTCCTAACTCCTCCCGCACCCTACCCTCTTCTCCTCAACTGCCTTCATCTCCTCCTCCCCCTCCTCCCCCTCCTCGTCCATGCGCCGCTCTCTCGCCCGACATCATGCGGTATTCCCTTCGCCGAAGCAGGGGTCCCCGGCGTAGTCCCCACATCCAGCCAGCCAGACCCGCACAAATCCCGACGACGTCGAGCCGCATTCCGCCTTTGCCCCTTCGGGTCGGAGCCAATCTCGTCGCCGCGGGCGGGAGCTGTTTTGTAATCTGGTCAGCTTTGCTTGCACTGTTGGCGGGCAGTGATCATGTGGTGGTTGTAGTCCTAGTTTTAACATACATTATTATTATTATTCTTTTTGATACTCTGTTGCAGTGTTTGTTTGTTGTGTTTATTATAAGGTTCATACTGCATGATTTGGATTTTATTAGGGTGGGGCGGTTAGCTTTTCATGTTATAATCTTTTGTTTATACTTGTGTCCATCATTGTGAACCTTTTCCTTGCTTTTGGATGGTGCTGTTGCTTTATGTTCCCCTTTTGGGCCGTGAAAATTTGTGTGTGATCGATGGAAAAGTTGGCATTATGGAGAGGCTCTACTGCCGTGTTTCAGTAGTCTTTTATATACTTTTTACTTTTTACCCTTTATTACTTGGCTCTTTATTTGGACTGCAAAAGATGCTGACTCCATGGAGTTTTTCATCGATGTAACCAAAAAGGAAGTCCTCCTTGATAAGCTCCCAAATGAATGGTGCTTTGTGCATAGTAAATTAGCAAAGTCCTAGAGTTCCTAACCCGCAGTGGAAAATGCGACGTACATATTTGAATAAACTTCCAACTGTTCAGGTACACTAGGGAAGTAATTTTTTTTATAAAAAAAAAACATCTTTTTCCACACATAAAACAAAGGGCTACTAACATATACCCCCTCCATATTATATAATTAGTAACTCATTAACTCAATAGTTTTTTTAACTAACACTTTAACCCTGGACTCCAAAACGTCAATGCGTTTGCAGAGGTTCTTATACTCCAATGCGTTGCAAATACACCCCTATTTTCTAACGAGTATTGAACATGCATAGCCTTGTGTGAACATCCGAATGCTAAAATGTTAATTAAAAAAATTGGTCTATGGAAACAAGCCCTTGAGGTACAAGAAAGTATGCATGCAGTTGACCCTAAAATAAATTGTTACCAGGCTTGGAGCATCTCCAACAGCTTCCTCATCTTCTTGAAATACTCAATTTTGGGGAATATAGAGCTTTTTTTTTGTCTAACAGATTCCCCATCTCATTCCCCAAAATAGGGAAGAAGGAGAAAAAATAGGGAGTCTTCTCCAAATCTGCAGCATTCTCCAAATTTTTGGGGAGAGCTTTATTATTGTAATAAATGCGATTTTTCAAAATGGGGAAGCTGTTGGAGTTGGAGCAAAAATAATTTGGAGAATATGACTTTTGTTTCTCTATTTTGGAGAAGCTGTTGGAGATGCTCTTAGCCAGTCTTGAACACTACAAGCACTCTGGTGAGAGTAGGTAAACAGAGACCAAACAAGAAAACACTCAAAAGACTGCAAGAGAAACTCCCAAATGTGAACATTTTGACACCAAGAATTTCCAAATGCAGGGCATGATAGGGGAATAATTGAAGCAGACATAGGGCTGGTGGGTCATTGGCTCCTTCTGCACGTGCCGGTGTTCTTCTGAACCTAACCACCCTTTGTTGTTTGGACCTTTGCAAAACTTAACAGTCTTTTTTTTTCTTAAAAGAAGATTCTTTAATTTCTTTCATGAAAGAATATTAGCAACTTTCAAACAAAACAAGGGGAAAATATTAAGTGGGAGTTAGTAGGGAGGGGCATACTGATCACATGGCTTTGCAGTAGCTTTCAGCAAAGGGTTGCTTAGTGGCTGTTTAATTAGCTTAAAATTTTGGGTTTTGGAATTTTAACAAATTAAAAAAAAATTATAATTTCCAAATTTTCAGCTGTTTAATTAATTCTTTTGTTCTTGATTGGTTGGGTAGATAGTTGAATATTTATTATTATTATTATTTTTTTTAATCTTCAAGAGATGAGAGGATTTTAGATGTAGGAATTTGCTAATGTGACAGCAAATTCTATCATTTTCCTCAACAAGTTTCTATAAAAAAAAAAGCGCAAATTCTGACTAACTATTTTAATCCTGACCTAATTATTGATGTGAGAGCCAAGTTTTCCATGGATTCTTAAACAGTGATGCTCAAACTCAGGTGATAGAGATTCAAAAGAACATATGAACCCAAAACTCTTAGGTTATATAGGCTTGATTGATTCACAGGTGATAGAGATTCAAAAGATTTTCCCTTGGATTTCTATATCTAACTCTACTAACAACCACCTTATCTAAGCTCAACCTCGTTATTATTACACGCACATCTCTCGTGATTTCTGAGCGTATCGGACCTATGGGTATACAAAAATAATTCGAAGCTTGATGAATTGTGTAAACTGAATTTTACAACTCTTGGGAGTTGGATAACTGCAATTCAATAAGCCATGTCAACAGCCGTCGAAATGGAAGAAAGATTTAATCCTGGTTCCGTTTAAACTTTTGTTGAGAAAAACCGAGCCAGTGTCAACCAAGTTTCTCCTAGGCTGAAACGCTCCCTAAAACCAGTTCTATTTTGATCCGCCCTCCATCAAAATTTGTCGCGATTATCTCGAAATTGGGTCAGGATCAATTCAATTGGCTGACATTGCCCAACTTACCCTAAAGATTTTGTTTGGCGCTTAACTATTATAACGATTAATTTCGCAACCACCACGGCATTTGCATGCAAAGACACCCTTTGGTCCAAAGTAGATGCAAGGTATTAGACGTTAACAACAATAATTAGCGATTGCAAAGTTAAAAATTTTAAAGAAAATGCAATTGAACATCGTAAATTGGGGATTTTGAAGAAAATCCACGCTCTTAATCTAAAATTACTCGATAATCGTCTTCTTCCTCCCTTCGCACACTATCTGAGGCAAGCGACTGGAATAAACCCTAGATTTTCGAAAATCGAAACCCTAATTGAGGCAAGAAAGCGAAAATTCACAAAGCAAGCGTAGAAGTCGAGAGAATTGAAGCAAAATCATCGGATATAGCCTATTGATTAACTCCTTAGCTTAAAAAATTGAGGAGAAAAAATAGAAATCGAACCTCTGAGACTTATCGAAGCTCTTGATCTCAAAATACTCCATCGAACTCTTCTTCAATGGGTCGAATTGAGCTCAGGGATGATTCTTGAAGAAACCCTAGAAACAAACTTTTGAGGGGTCGGAAAAGCGAACAGGATAAATAATTAGGGCTCTAGAGCTCGAACTTTTTTGGCGAAGCCCAAAATGAAATTTGTCTGGGCCGGGCTGGCCTGCCGCCTAAACTTGTTTTATTAGGACACCTTGAATGGTATTCTGGGATACGGTAGGCCCATGGGCCCTTAACATTGAGATGGCCACAGTTCATCAAGATCAAGTTGCCGTTGCACTAAATATTTAGATTAAATTAACTAGGCCCACAGATAAATTAACGAATAACAATTATAACAACCACCTCCAGAAAATAAGAAGATTACATTTAAGATGAGGTGTTGAAAGGGATTGAAAGGGATTTTACAAGTATTTTGAGAAAGAAACCGAAAAGTTCTAATCAAGTTTAGCTTTCTTGATATATTTTAAAGGTTTTTTTTAACAAGATCTCAAAATATCATCATTTAGAACCGTTTCGAGTTATTATTTCTTTTGTGGAAAAAAAAAGGAATAACCTAAAGTAAAAAAAACCCTACTTTTATCAAATGTTGCTCATAAAATACCCTCAACTTTAAGTGGATTCGATTTTTCTAATAACCCAACTCGGAATTAAACCCAAAGACCATAGGAGCCATATTAGAATATATTAACTGTTCGGATCACCCACAGTGGGTTGAGTGCCTTCACTTAAATATCTTAAGTTTTTAAAAGTTGCGCTTTAATAACCTTTGGTTACGCAAACAAAGGGATTTTGTACGTGCTAATGCAAATGAAGGAATTTTGCGCGTATCATTTTTTAAACAGTTTTTAACCATTGTTTTTTTTACAACATTTTTTTGATAACGTAGCCCGAAATTAAACTCAAGACCGTGGGAGCCATATTGGAACCTATTAACTATTCAGATCACCAGCAATGAATGTGTTAAATCTATCGTTAGACTTACCAAAATCCTATTGTAATGTAGAATCATGATATACCTTAAATAAATTTTTATATGCTAATAAATTTTAACAAAAAAAGAGCTAAAAAAAATTCAGAAATAACATGTAGTGTCCAATGATAACGTTACTGGAAAATTTCTCATGTTTGTACAAGCGAGGGAACTAAAGTGTAACTTTGTGAAACTTTAGAGTAATTAAGTGAAACTATTTATATTCAATATTGGGTGAGCTACTTAGAGGGTGTTTGAGAAGACTTATTTTTAAAAACTTATAAGTTATGTTTGCTTTTAGTTGCTTTTAACGTTTATGATAAAAATACGATAAACATTATTCAAGCAGAATAGTAATTTGTTCGGTCAAACTTAGCTTATACATGTGAGCTTATAAAGCTAGTTTTTTAAAAGATGGGGTACACCAGTTTTAAAAAATAACAATTATAAGCTAACTTATTTATTACTTTACCAAACGGGCAGAAATAAAAAAAACTAGCTTAAAAGTTAATTTGACAAAAAATAAGCCTATCCAAACACCCTCTTAGCATTACGCGTGATTTGCTTATTTGCCTCCCCCTCCCTAAACCCACCGAAAGGTGAGGTGGGGGTGGGGGAGGTTGATATATACCCTCCGTATATGCGTATTTTTAAATTTGACTCCCATATTTCGTAGTTCTAATTTTGCCCCTCAAATTGTTCTACTTGCTAAATTGTACCCCTGTCCTAGCTTAAATTACACATGCAACCCTATTTTCAATGATTTAAAGAATAAGAGAAATCAGCAGGATAGAACTTAATTCATCATTATTATAAAACTGCATCCATTAGAAACTGTTAATCAACCTCTACTGGACAAATTAAGTGTTGATTACCTTTGAATTCAACGAGGCTAGCTTCATTAGTTACATAAATATGTACAAGTAAAATGATGGAAGAGTACTCATCTTTACTGTATAAAGGCTCCCTTAACCTTCATTCATTGTCCTTTAGTATTTACCATAAACAAATGACAGTACTGAAACTCGACCAGCTCTTCAATGTCATTGTAAACATCTGCTACATCGAAATAATTTGGATAACATTAATTTTGTTTCCTAATGTCTGCCATTTATAAACGAGAAAGCATATCTCATTTATACCCGGCAAAAGAATTTGTTGCCTCCTCGGCCGACATGCTTCACTGGGACGGCATGACTTAGATTTCTCTTTAGGGGCTGTTTGATTCGCTAAAAAAACATGGAAAGTAAAGAAAAGGAAACATATTTCCCATAATTGGATGTTTTCTTGTGTTTTTCGCTAAAAAAACATGGAAAGTAAAGAAAAGGAAACATATTTCCCATAATTGGATGTTTTCTTGTGTTTGGTTCACTTCTTAGAAGTAAAAAAGAGATAAGTTGAGATGAGTTGTCACAATATTATTGGATGATCTGAGTGATTTTTAAAGAAAACTTATTTTGATGTTCTATTCTTATGTTTGGTTGGCTAAAAAAATAAGGAAAAAACTTATAAGGAAAATATTTTTCTTGTTTAGATTCTTTTCTTGTGTTTGGTTCATCCTTAAAACTAAGAAAATAGATGAGATGAGATGAGTTGTCATTATCTTATTGGATGATGTGACCCACACTTAAGGAAATCGATTTCCTAGCTTTTTTGGAGGAAATTGGTGAAAATGAAATGTTAATGAGATAGGATGAGTTGTCACCATATTATTGGATGATGTGAGTGGTTTTTAAAGATGGTAGTAGATGAGATGAGATGATGTGAGGTGAGTTTGATGAGTTGATTGATGTGACCCATTTCTTGTGTTTAGTTTATTTTTAAAAATAAGAAAGATGAGTTGTCACCATATTATTGGTTGATGTGGGAGATTTCTAAGGGTGGAAAACGATGGAAACCAAATTTTATTGATTTCCATGCTTTTTTTTTCCTTTTCTTGGTTTTTAGGAAACAAACCAAACAGCCCCTTAGGGGCTGTTTGTTTGCGCAAATAGGGGGGATCTTCTTGTCACATAGGATTTTGGTTTCAAGACATTTCTATTTCCTACGTTTGGTTCGCTGCGTGATTTAAAAAAATGTTGGGTGAAAAGGGTTGGCACATCAAAATTTTAAGAAAATTAATTTCAGACTAAAAGTGGCTAAAATTGGTTGGAAATGTCACATCTGTGCATATTTAAATATCAGTTTTTCTATAGAGTGCTCATGGGCACTATATAAGAGAGGAGAGAGATAGAGAGAAATGAATGAAGAGGGCCCCGCTAATTTGCATTGGGATCCTCTCCTCATTCATTTCTCTCTATCTCTCACCTCTCTTATAGAGTGCCCATGGGCACTCTATAGAAAACCCCTTTAAATATTTAAAGTACTATTGAAACGACGACTTGAATTAAAGGGCAATATTTAATGTCATGTCGCTGAATATTTAATTGAAAATCTCATTTGATTTCTTGATTTCTGAATGTTAAAATAAAGCCAAGAAATGGGAAACAATGTTTTCCCGCCTATGATTTCAATCTGAAACAAACAAAAAAAGAAATAGGGGAAACTCTTTAAAATGTCCAGAAATGTTTTCTAGCCTAGTTTTCTATTTTTTCTGGAAATGTACCAAACAGCCCCTTAGAGGAATTAGTAGACGCGAAAGAAAATTCGCAACTCAGTCTATTCTTCGATAACGGGTTGATAGTGAACTTTACGATGGGAAAATTAACTAAACTAAAGTTATAGATGTAATTTTATCTAAGGTAAGGGTAAATATTGAGGGAATACAATAATTTGAGGTACATGGTTAGAATTTTGAAGAATTGAGGGGCAAATTTAAAATCCTATAATGTCGAGGGCATACATAGAAAAAACTAAAAAAAAATGATAGGGGCACACCTCCAACCACAACCTCAACCACACCCCCCCTCTCATTTGCTATAGTGCACCGGGTCTCACATGAGATTTTAAAGTTTTAAGATCTCATGTGGGACCCGGTATATTGTAACAAATGAGAGAAGAGAGTTTGGTTGAGATTATGATTGGAGGTGTGTCCTAGTGCCACCAAAAAAAAAAAGGCTGAACAAGGGTCAAGACGACCTCCTCTCTATTCTCTCTCCATGGAAATGTCAGAGCGGTAAAAAAAAAAAAAAAGTCGTGGGTTTCTTTTCCCCATTTTCCTTTTGTTTCCCTCGCTCCATTTTCACTTCTCGCTGGGGGCGAAGGAGTTGCAGAGCGAAGGGCCCCCCAAAAATTTTCTCCGCTCTCAGTTTCTCTCTCCTCACTCTCTCAGATCTCCGATCAATCCCAAGTAAGAACTCTCTCTCTCTCTCTCTCTCTCTAGAGCCTACTTCTAGGGTTTCGACCTCTCCTGCTTTCTTTACACTACAGCGTTTATGAATTCTCAATCTAGCTCAGGGCCTAGGGCTTCGATTTGCTTCTCTAAGGTTTATACTCGCTGGCGCGAGCTCGATTCACCTGTGGAATTTGTGACCTAGGGTTGGGTTTGGTTGATGAGACGGTCCAGGTCAAAATCAGAGAGCTAGGGTTTTCTAATCGCGACTTGTATTTTTGTTTTTTAAATTAATGAAGTTAGAAGTTGGAGGTTATTCTCAACATCGCTTAGATTCAAGCTCAGTGATTAAGTTCATGCTGGTTGGTTTAGAGAGGGTTTATCTGTGAAATTTGTGCTTTTAGCCTTGAGATGAGATGCTTGATGTTGGGGAATGAAGGGATTCTGATGTGCATAATGGGGATTTTCACCTAGTAAAGGTTTTGAGTTTTGAGTTTTGAGTTTTGATCGCTGTGTTTGTTGGGTTTGCTAATGAAGTGAGAAGCTGAAGACTATTCTCACTGTACGTTACATTTTGAAACGCTAAAAGCTTCATGACAGCTGTTGTGACGAGCTAGACTGATTGGATAACTATTCGGAGATGTCTTCTTGTAGAATATTAGTATTCAATGTAAACACTAACTCCTTAACTGGATGCAAATTGCTTGTTTATTGCATGAATGTCTTGGCTAATAAATAGCTTACAAAGATAACAAACTTAGCTACAAACGAGCTAACAGAAAAGACTGAATCAAAACCTTAACTAAACCCTCCAGAATAGGGTTGTTATTAAATGGATAAAACTACTTCCTGAAAACTAGGTCAAACATCCCTTCATACTCTCCCTTAAGCTAAACTTAGTGAAACAGTTTAGCTTAACTGGTTGACATCGCACATCCCCATTAGCCTTCGAAGATGAACAAATGCCTCTGTCTTGAGTGGCTTGGTCATAATGTCTGCGACCTGGTCTGCACTTCCACAATGATTCAAAACAATGGTGCCTTCTTTAGTCAGCTCCCTGAGAAAGTGGTATCTTACACGTATGTGCTTGCTTCGTCCATGAAGAACTGGATTTCTTGAAAGCTTGATTGTGGAGGTGTTGTCACACATGATTGTGGTGCACTCTTCATCTTCATGTCCCAGCTCCTTTAGGATTCTTGTCAACCAAATGGCCTGGCATGCACAAGTTGCAGCTGCTACGAACTCGGCCTCAGTAGTAGACAGAGTCACAATGGGCTGTTTTTTTGAATTCCATGAAATAGCTCCCGAACTTAGCATAAACACATAACCACTCGTGCTCTTACTGTCTTCAACATCTCCAGCATAGTCACTGTCAGTAAAGGCCAATAACTTGCTGTTTTCTCCATGCTTGTAGTACACCCCATAGCCCACAGTGCCCTTCAGATATCTCAAGGCCCTCTTAGCAACCTGTAAATGCATCTCGGTTGGCTTTGCCATGAACCTGCTCAAAAGACTAGTCACAAACATTAAGTCAGGCCTTGTTGATGTTAGATACATCAAGCTACCAATGAGTTGCTTGAAGTGTGTTTCATCAACTGTCACGCCATGTGTGTCCTTCTCAACCTTTGCTCCTGGAACAATCGGAGTGCTCACCATTTTACAATCTGCCATCCCAAACCTTTTCAAAACTTTTAAAGCATACCTTCTTTGATAAATGAAGATACCTTCTGACCCTTGTATCACCTCAATGCCAAGAAAATAACTCATGCTCCCCATATCAGTCATATCAAATTCTCTCATCATAGACAACTTGAAATCATTTAACAATGAAACACTATCACCAGTGAAAATCAAGTCATCAACATAAACACTTACAATGACAATGTTGCCTTCACCACTTCGTTTGGTGAACAAAGTTTGTTCACTTGGACACCTTTGAAACCCTTCTCGGACGAAATAGGCTTCAATCCGGCTGAACCAGGCTCGAGGAGCTTGCTTTAGGCCATACAAAGCCTTGTGTAGTTGATAGACCATATGCTCATTGCCCTTCACTTCATACCCCTTTGGCTGCTCAACAAATACTCTCTCAGTCAATTCCCCATGAAGGAATGCTGATTTCACATCCAACTGGAAGATCTTCCACTTCATTTGGGCTGCTAAAGCAATGATGGTGCGCACTGTATCCAACCTTGCTACTGGTGCAAAAACCTCAGAGTAATCGATCCCTTGCCTCTGTGAGTACCCCTTAGCCACTAACCGAGCTTTGTGTTTGATCACTTTCCCTTGTTCATCCCTCTTGGTCTTGTAAATCCACTTCACTCCCACTTTCTTAGCTCCACTAGGTAACTCGGTGAGTATCCAAGTTTTATTCTTCTCAATGGAATTGATCTCATTGTCCATTGCTTGCCTCCATTTTTCTTCTCTCACTGCATCTTCAAACAGCACTGGATCATCTGATTCATTGTCTTGCAGCAGTGAGGCTTGCATCATGTAAGCAGCTTCTTCTTCTCCATCTGTGCTTAAGCCTTCACCACTAACATAATCCCCCATCCATATAGGAGCTCTTCTCTCCCTGCCTTGAGCCTCTACTCTCACTATACTACCCTCTTCATTCCCTTCATTATTTTCTCCACCACTATCAGACTCCATGTCTACTCCATCACCTACATCAAACCCTTCTTCATTGTTTCCTACTTCTCTAACCTCTCCCTCACTTTCATCATCACTATAATCATCATCACCCCATACTAATTCAGCTCTTATTTGCTCTTCATAATTCTTTCCCCAATCCCAGCTTCTTTCTTCTTCAAATACGACATCCTTACTTACTACAATTCTCTTAGTCTTAGGATCAAGTAATCTATATCCTTTGGACTCATCACTAACTCCCAACAAAATACAAGGAAAGCTTTTGTCATCTAACTTACCTCGTTTAGCATCTGGAATATGGACATAAGCAACACAACCCCAAACTCTGAAATGATTGACTGAAGGTTTCACTCCACTCCATGCTTCTTGTGGAGTCTTGTTCTTCACTGCAAGTGTAGGACATCGGTTGAGAAGATAGAATGTCCACAAAACAGCTTCAGTCCAGAAAGGTCTTGGTACTTTCTTGGCAGCTAGCATGCATCGAACCATGTTCATCACTGTCCGGTTCTTCCTCTCGGCTATCCCATTTTGGTGAGGAGTGTAGGCGGTGGTAAGTTGGCGCTTGATTCCTTGCTCTTCACAGAAACTCTTGAAGTTGTGTGAAGTGAATTCTCCGCCTCGATCTGTCCTCAAACATTTGATAGCTTCTTCTGCTTCCTTTTCTACCATTTGCTTGAACTTCTTAAAGCAATCTAGAGCCTCTGACTTTTCTACCAACAAGTATGCCCATGCCTTGCGGCTGAAGTCATCGATGAAACACAAAATGTACCTCTTCCCACTATTCGATATAGGCTCAATGGGACCACAAATATCAGCGTGAATAAGCTCTAAGACCTTGCTTGCCCTCCACTCACTGTTTTTTGGAATTGCATTGCGGTGTTGCTTCCCTTTGAAACAATCTGTACAAGTGACTTTCGATGCTTCAAGTTGAGGAAGCCCACGAACCATCTTCTTCATTTGTAGAGTTTTCAACCCTTTGAAACTCAAATGTCCGTACCTCTGGTGCCACAAGTAGGTGAGATCCGAAACATTGGTATGGAGACATTCCTCGAAAAATTGTGTTGTGGCAGACACACCTTCATTGAGTAGGATGAACATTCTGTTTGCGCTCATTTCAGTGTGAGCAATGAGACCTCGCATTGGATGATATACATTGCATTTCCCATTCTTTATTAGAATTGCCAACCCCTTCTCTTGCAACTGACCAACACTAAGTAGGTTGTTTCTCAAATCTGGAACATAATACACATCCCTAATAACAAAGCTAGTGCCATTGAACACAAGCCTTACACTTCCCTTTCCAGCCACAATCATTCTTGAATTATTCCCACACTTCACAGAATGATTAATTCCATCAACTAAATTGGAGAACATACCTTTATCACCACACATGTGGTTAGAACAACCAGAATCAAGGAACCAAGCATCATTCCTCTTTGCATCATTCTCTTCTATGTATGCCATAAGCAGCAACTCTTCTTCATCATTCAATTGTGCATAATTAGCCTCCTTGTTCCACTTAGGGCATTCGTACTGAAAATGTCCAAGATTATGACATTTGAAACACTCCACAGTTGCTATTGTGAATGTCTGGCGCCCTCTTCCACGACCTCTGCCCCTGAATGATGTTCTGCCACCTCTGCCTCTTCCTCCTTCTACTTTAAGAGCTTGATCACCTTCTCTGCTGCTGCTTCTTCTTCTGAACTTCTGCTCATGAACCACAAGACTACTATGGAGTTCATCAATGGAGAGAGATTCAGTGTCTTTGGATTCTTCAATAGAAACCACCACATATGTAAATTGGAGTTCATCAATGGAGAGAGATTCAGTGTCTTTGGATTCTTCAATAGAAACCACCACATATGTAAATCTCTCTGTCAGTGTGCGCAGTATCTTCTCAACCACCTTGGAGTCAGGCATGTCTTCACCATTGCTGCGCATTTTGTTTGCAACTGACATCACTCTTGCAAAGTATTCGGTGATAGTCTCTCCTTCCTTCATCTCTAGCACCTCGAAATCTCTCCTTAAGGAATTGAGAAGGGATTTCTTTACTCGATCATTGCCTCCAAATTTTCTTTTCAAGGACTCCCAAACAATTTTGGACGTTCTTCTGTCCAAAACTTGTTCAAAGACTGTTCGATCAATTGCTCTGAAAAGGTAGTGCTTCACCTTATGATCTTTGGTTCTAGCATTCTCCAACTGTTCCTGTTGTGCATCAGACAGGACTGCTCCAGCACGAGGTTCTTCAAATCCTCTCTCGACCAAGCTCCATAGCCCTTTAGCTCTGAGTAGATTCTCCATCAGCTCGCTCCAATGATCATAGTGAAGACCATCGAATTGAGGAATTTTGGTGGATCCCTTTTCCTCACTCATCTCTGTTTCTCTTGCGTGTATGACTGCTGCTCACGCTCTGATACCAGTTTGTAGAATATTAGTATTCAATGTAAACACTAACTCCTTAACTGGATGCAAATTGCTTGTTTATTGAATGAATGTCTTGGCTAATAAATAGCTTACAAAGATAACAAACTTAGCTACAAACGAGCTAACAGAAAAGACTGAATCAAAACCTTAACTAAACCCTCCAGAATAGGGTTGTTATTAAATGGATAAAACTACTTCCTGAAAACTAGGTCAAACATCCCTTCACTTCTTTCTTGATGAGGCTTAAGTTGAATTAGGAGTCCCTTTTGTACATATTACCGTGGCTCATATGTACTTGGAAATAATTGTGTTGCGACTATGACTTGGATTCTTCTTTTTCATATTGGACTAATTCAGACCCTATTTGTTTTTTATCATTGTAATCATGGTTATTTTTTGAGACAATTCGTTTGTGATGGATTTTGTCGCAAGGGGCCGGGAGTCTTAAAGGATATTTCTTGGTTTCAATCATATAGAATGGTCAATAGTCACTGAGTGGTTGATCATTTTAGAGTAGCGTACTTAATTTATTAGGTTGTGATGAGAGATAGCAGAAAAATTCTGGGCAAGATTAGATTTCCGTCCAAAGCGCTGTCCTTTGAGGCTTGTTGATCACTTGGCCTTATGACTGTGGTAGTGGTCTATCTATATCCTTCCACTTACTAGCCCTAGTGTTGCCTTGGGAAACAGAGCGTTGTTTATCACAATAAATACTACACACTGTGTTACTCCTGGGCACGATTAGGCTCTTCAATTTGCAACTATTTGGTTGGGAATCTAGGTTGGCCCAATTGACCAACTATATATTTTTGTGTTCAATGAAGATATTGAGTAGTGAATTTCTTGTTGAGGATCTCATAAGATCTCACATCCACAATAATATATGTTTGCACCCAACTTATTGCTTTAGCAGTTTGATAGTCCTACTATTCTACATTAGCAAATCAAAGTGAATTTATTTAATGGAACCGAATATGGATCCTCATCTCTTCAAATAAAATGCACCATATATGAAAACCTTATCTATCTTTGGCAGCACCAATGTTAGAGCCAAATGCCAATGTTTTATCTGACAAGTAGTCATGGTCAGCATGTCAATGCATTCCAAATCATGCATTGTATTAGTGCAAGATTTTAGTTCGTACTGCAGAAATCATGAATCATGATAGTTATTGAAACGCTACGTGTCTATGATAACGAGCCCGATTATATCTTCCGAGCTTAATTATAGTTACGAGTTAATTTTACTATTTTAGGTACAAGGATGAACAATATCTCGCCTTCCACAATTTTAGCGCATTGGTTGCCACATATTATAGAATGCATGGTATCACATAAATTGATAATGCCATAATTAGTTGAATAAATAAAACCATTATTATGCACCTTAAATAATAAATATTCTTGTCTCGTTACTTATTATTATTAAACGTATCAGCTACATTGTTACTATAGTCTTATAAAACCAACATACCTATCACTTGAAGTGTTTGTTATACTCTAGGAGTTAATTTCAATTGGTAAACTGTTTTTTACAGTGGCTTTGCATTTAGGTTCGCAGAGTAAAATATTCTCAGGACGTGTATTTGCTTTATTTATCCTTTGATCGTAAACTTTTGATTGATTGTAAAACACCAAATTTTAATATGCCAAGTTAGTATTAACATTTCATCTACGTCTTGATTCGTTAGTGTTTCTTTTGAAGATCTTAAAATGTAAGCTATGCATCTGAAGAGCTTTCAAGTCTCTTGTTATTCCTGCTTACGCGACTTAGCTTGGAAGAATCATAGGTTGATTATTTTAATTTGCATATTCCGTTACCAATCCATGATTTTTTCTCCCTAATTCAACTGATCAAACTATTGTGCAATATAATTTGTTGTGCTGTTCCTTTGTGGTGAAGTGCCATGATCCTCTAGTTCATTTTTGATAATGTGTTAACTGGTTAGGTGTGGGGTTGAGGAGGATTAACTCTTTTTTAACTTTCCAAACACAAAATGTGCACAAAGTAATAGATGTTAATCCATCTCAACTTCTAGATATGTTCAAAGGAGCTAATTTCTTGAAATGTGGGATTTAGAGGTCAACCTCTTGGCATAGGTTAAGAAACCCTCTATTATAGAAAAAAAGACAATAACCGTCTTTTTTGAGAAGACCAGAGAAGAGCATAATAATTAATATGTATTTTTCTAATGTGTAACAGCTAACCTTTCTTGTTTCTTTTTCTCTTTTCAAACGGCTTAACTATTTTAATCCTTTTCCTTAATCTTTCCTTAAACTAGTTTATTTTCCTGTTTTCTTCTACAGGTCTGAGCTTATATTCATTGAGTTACATAACATTTGTGAATCAAAGAAGGTACATGGAGTTGTTAACTTTTGTTGAAATAAAATAACTTTCTTCTTTATTTTATTCATTCTGGTTAGTGGCTATGTTTGTGCACTAGTTAAACCAAGTTCAATCATCTTGAAATGTTGGATATTGTGCTGGTGCTGAGAAGGGTTATGGTCAGACATTTGGATGTTTTCCTTAATGGTGCTTCTTAAATATTTAGTCCATGCATACATATCACAAGAGGACAAGTATATGTAGCTTGTACTTTAAAAGGAAGACGAATAATTCTAATTGGTTGGTAAGGATAGAAAGTGTGCATGGTTAAATAAGTCACCATCTAATTGTGAAGTGTAATCGAAAGAACATCATAGTATGCTTCCAAAAGAATCTCAATGTCCGACATCCTTTTGGACTCTTTAGGAACTTACTTTCTATGCCAACATGAAGTCCATGGTCATCATCATTATCCTCATTATTGTAATAATCTTGGAACTGTATTGGTCAATTTAACAAAATTGGATCCTAAGAGTGGTCAGAGTAATACATGACTAATTACACAAGTTTCATATAATTTTATTTTGTGTATGCTTACTGCCCATTTTCATGTCAATAGTTAGAAAAGAAAAAAAGAAAAGAAAGAAAAATGTAACTTTAGTATTGATGTGAAGGGGATTCAATTAATTATGCTATTTCCTAATTTACTATCTCCAATATAAATAAAAAACGGCTAAATTATCAGATTGTTATTTAAAATAAACCTCATTTACCACTTTGGTACTTAAAAATAACTTCGGCGTCTTTTTGGTATTTAAAGTTTGGCAAAGTGGCAATTCGGTACTTTTCCGACGATTATTGTAATTTCTTACAGGGAAAATTTCTTTCACCCCTCACCTCTTAAAGTTATTGTATTTTACACCCTTCTTCTCCTTTAATTTCTCCAAGCTCAAATTTGTTCTACCTCTTCACCCAATAAGACCCTCCTTCCTCCTCTCTTTCTCTCTTCTTCTTCAACCTCTCCCAAATCCCAATTCAAACCCAAACCCTAATCAAAACAAGGGGTTTATCATTTGGATGAGGGTTTGTGTTTGAATTGGAAGAAGTTGAAGGGGGAGGAGGAGACTCCATTGATGAGTATTATTCTCTTGACTTAATTTAAGTACTTTTTTGTTCTCAATCTTAAGATTAATTATTTCTCTTATATTCAGTAGGCTTTCAGTGAATCTGAAGTGACTTACTGCTTGCTATGTTGACTGTTGCCGAAAAAGAGCCATAAGCCTGTGAGCAACGAGTCTAATGGTTGATCCTCTCTCTTCCTTCTCCTACTATAAATTACATCTCACCTCTCCTCCCTTTGTCTCCATGGCTCTATGGAGGTTTCTCCTCAAAGGGCAATTTTGACATTGATATCACAATTAGCCCAACCACTGTGCTGGAAACCAAACCCTTCACTCCAATCCGAATCCCGTTCTCCTCCTACAAAAATCCTAGAGAAGATGTTACAAAATCGACACAAGAGGCAGCTAGGCTAGGCATTGTTGATTCATTGAAGAGACCTTCAATGACACAAGCCTGAAAACAGAATGCTACTGAAAATTCAAATCCCTCCATATAGTTTTGTTGAGTTTTTGTAATCTCCCACTATTGAATTTAGGGTCAAGAACAAGGATGCTCAGCACTCATTGCACTCTATGTGAGAAGTCCAGTGGAGATTGAGAATTTGGTCTTTGGGAGATTGAGAATTTGGTCTTTGGTTGCATTTCGAGTAGAGAGATGGAATTACCAGAGGATTATGCTTGTGTGATTGCTGACCGAATCTGAAAATGGCCCATATTTTCGGTAATTGTATTGTGGAGAATTATGGCAAAGGGTTTGCTTCTTGAGTCCTGGGAAGAAAGAGAGCAGAATCTCGGATAGTTTTCAAAGTTGTTGTCATGCTTGCAAGAAGAGGCTTGGGTAGGGGCAGGACATTTTCATGTATAGTTTAGCTTTCTTGTTAAAGGGAAAAAGGGAGTAAAATACAATAACTTTAAAAGGTCAGCGGGGTGAAAGAAATTTTCCCATTAAAAAACTACAGATCTCACCGGAAAAATGTTAAAATGGAAGCGTGTTTTGGGAGTCTTATGTGATCATAGGATACCTATAAGATTAAAAGGAAAATTCTATAAGATAGTTATAAAACCAACAATGTTTTATGTATCATAATATTAGGCAATTAAAAAATAACTGTAGCAGAAATGAGAATGTTACGATGCTCTTGTGGGTATATAATAAATGATAGAGTAAGAAATGAGTGCATTTGTAGTAAATTAAAAGTTGCTCCTGTTGAGGATAAATGAGAGAAAATCAATTAAGGTGGTTTGGACATGTGCAACAGAGGCTTGTTAGCGTACCGATCAGAAAAAGTGATAATATTATAGTTAATGGGGCGAAGAGGTCTAGAGGTAATACCAAGGAGAACTTGGTTGGAAACAATTAAGAAGGACATGATAATGGTTAACTTAAAAGAGGAGATGACCCGTAATAGAACGGAATAGAAGAGTAGGATTCGTGTAGTCAACTCCGAACATTTTAGATAAAGGCTTTGTTGTTTGTCTCGCCAGAAGTACCCAATCCCCTTTGCCAAACTTTCTATACCAAAAAGGTGTGAGTTATTTTAAATACTAAAGAGGTAAATGAGGTCTATAGAATACCTGGGTAATGGATTTTCAACTACCAATGAATGAAGAAAGCTTTTGTCTTTCTATTCCCCAATCTTATTCGAAACTGAACTAACAAAACAATTCGAATAAACCTTAAGCAGAAATAACTTTCTCTATTTGTGCAGTTGCCATCAGGTAATGCGACAGTAACAGTATGATCCCTTTCCATAAAGTTTTAATCAAATATGCTCCCTAGTCTAAATTCCTCTTTAGTGAATAAACTGACATAGTAGTCAAAAATTCTAATACAAATTCTAACTATTCTGGAGCTACATCCTTGAAATTGACAGTCTTAGTAAATAGTGTGAAACTATTGTTGGAGATAAGGTCCATGTTTATTGCCCTGGGCTTGCATTGAGGGTAGCATCAAACTTATCCTATTGCGGTGGCTGTAAGCCTGTAACAACAGGAGGATGTTTCAGTCTTCTGTCAATAATTAATTGATGAAAAGAGAACATATTAGCTTTAAGGTGGGCAATTGCAAAGATTCAGTATTTCAATATAATGCATCTAAAGGATTAAAAAATAATAGCTAAATACATACTTATGAGATGCCAAGAATTTGGGGGGAAACAAGAGCATAGTTATCGAGATGGCCGATATATCAACATATATAAAGGGGATAAGTCCTTACTAGCGTTACCAATTACTCATCAGGAAGGCGAGTTTGAACAGGATTTAGGCATAGAAATGAAACGTGATGGTGGAAATGAAGGAAATTTTGGCCCCAGTAACAGGATATATAGGGTAATGGGTGTCTGTACACCATTCATGAATCTGAAATAGAATTGTACCAGATTGTTAAATATACCCTGTGCTTTATGTCTCAACACGTCTGGGGATAAACAGCAACATGTCCAGAAGTATCTTCAGGAGAATATCACGAGGGATAGGCATCCATATAAAATGGAATAGTAAATGAGGGCCTTTGCAGGCAATTAGAGGTAGCCTAAATCAAGGATACTACAACGCAAATCATGTAATCTTGCTTAATCTTCCACAAAAAAAGAATCATGTCATTTTGCTTAGGAAGATGGTCGGATTGTATTTGGAGGGTCCGAGTAGGACGAGGCTCACACCAAAACGGATTTAGTTGAAGGTACTACTAGGACCAGGCTCTTCAAGCTAGCCATTAATGAACTTGAAATTTTATTCAAATTCGTCTTGTTTAGATTGTTGACTGTGCCTGATCAGCTTCTGCTGAGCTGAGACTTGAGCCTGGTAACTCCTTCAACCTTGAACCAACTTAAAGATCTAGTGTGATATATGGTTGCCGCCTGACTGCATCGTCCACCATCCGCGCACAAGTCAATCATGCTGTTTGTAGAAAAGTAAGAGGAAAATGAAGGCAAGAGATCCTATGCCTCACTCTGTTCTTACAGGGGTACTGGTGTGAGTTTTCTGATTTGACATTAGATTATTAGATCCACCTAGTTTTGGGGGGTTAATTTAAACCGAGAAATTATCCTTAATAGGGCTGATTGAGAAAGGGATTGATAGAGCTGACTAATATTACTCGGGATAAAGGTTTTTTTTTCGTTGTTATTTTTAGTAGAGAACCTATCTTTGCATGTAATGTTGGATGAAGTTCTGTATTCTATTAGTTTATCTGAACTTGGGATTTTCTTTATAAATGAAGTTTGAACATTTTCTCTTGATCTTTTGTAGGTGATCTGACTTTGTGAACTGCATCCAACTAGTTGCCTATTACAGCAGATACTATTTATTATTGTGACTAAGATAGATGAAATGTTTAGCTCTTCCTTATTCACGGTTTGACGACTGCCATTTGTCTCTTATTCATGGTTTGATGACTGCCATTTGTCACCATTGAGAAAAGGGTACCTTGTGTCTTGTATTCGCATCTCAGTTGAGGCAAATCAGGACATTTCTTGAAATTGAATTGCCATGGAGTGCAATAGGGAGGAAGCTATGAGAGCTAAAGGCATTGCAGAAAGCAAGATGCTGAACAAAGACTTCACTGGGGCACGAAAGATTGTGCTAAAGGCCCAAAAGTTGTATCCTGACCTTGAGAATGTATTGCAGATGTTAACTGTCTGCGAGGTGCACTGCTCTGCTGAAAATAAGATCAACGGTGAGATAGACTGGTATGGGATTCTTCAAGTGATACCAACTGCAGACGAATTAACCATCAAGAAGCAATACCGGAAGCTTGCTCTTTTACTTCATCCTGACAAGAACAAATTTGGAGGTGCTGAGGCTGCATTCAAATTAGTGGGAGAGGCTCATAGGACGTTAACAGACAAATCAAAGCGTGTACTGCATGATATGAAAAGAGGAGTTAATTTCAGAACAGTCTCTGCAAGGCAACCTGCCCCACATGTAAACAGATCTTCATTGACCAAGAAGCAACCTGGAGTTGCAAGCAGTTCTGCAAATGGTGCTTCTACTCAGTCCAATAATTTGAATCATCAGCAATCACCTCCATTCTCAAGCAATCAAACTTTCTGGACCATATGTACTTCTTGTGGTATAAGATATCAGTATTATCAAAATATAATGAATAGATCAATTCGTTGTCAGAGTTGCAAGCAGCCCTTTATTGCCTATGATTTAAGTGCACATAGTGTGCCGTCTGCAGCACCATGGAATTATACTGAAATCCCTCAGAAGGAGAACAAACCCTCCGCAGCCCATTGTGCTGCGCAAAGAAGCAACTTTGGAACTGGTTCTAATATGGATCCTCGGGGAAATGTGGGTGGAGGGTTTGGTGGCGGACCTCATAAGGACTCGAACAAAGATTTAAAATCGGACAGAGATGGTGGAACAGCTAACGATGCGAAGTTTGAAAAGGTGAAACTTCATGAAACAAGCAAGAAAGAGCAAACACGAAAACCTCCAGCTAGAAGTAGAAGTCAGAAAAGAGGAAGAAAGGCAGAAGTGGAATCTATTGAGTCGGAGAGCAGCGATAGTGATGTAATTGTTAAGGATGGTTGTCCTTCAGGCCAGAATACTGGGACACGACGATCAACCAGGCAGAAGCAAAACATTTCTTACAATGAAGAGAAAAGTGATGATGACAATGACTTCATGACTCCAAAAAATAAAAAGTTAAGGCCAGAAGGTATGTCAGTGAATGAACAGAAGAATGCCTCAAAGTTTTGGGAAGGGAATGCCAATGGCGTCATTGGACAATCAACTGGAGCTGAAAGTAAAGTTTCATCAGATTCACCAGACACAGACTCGTTTTCTTACCCTGATCCTGAATTCTACAACTTTGAAGAGGAAAGGGATGAAAGTAAATTTTCTGCAGATCAGATCTGGGCTATCTATGATAACTTGGATGCACTGCCACGTTTCTATGCATTGATCAGACAAGTTTACAGCCCAAAATTTAGGCTGCGCTTCAATTGGTTAGAGTATGAGCCCTCAGGTAAAGCTGAGACACTTTGGTATAGAGGAAATTTGCCTATTGGGTGCGGTAGCTTCAAACTGGGTAAGTCAGAGCATACACAGGAGCGTCTTATGTTCTCTCATCTTATGCCTTTGAGAAAAGGTACAAAGAAAAATACTTACGAAATATTCCCTAGAAAAAGTGAAGTTTGGGCACTGTTCAAGAATTGGGATATCAAATGGAGTTCTTGTTCAGATATTGATAGGCAATACGAGTATGAGGTCGTGGAAGTAGTATCAGATCTCACCGAGAGTGATGCGATCAGCGTTGTCCGTTTAGTTAGGATACAAGGGTTTGTGAGCTTGTTTGTGCAATCTAGAGATGATGGATCAAGCCCCCTGAGGATACAGATGAAAGATATACTTCAGTTTTCACATAAGGTACCCTCGTATAGATTGAAAGGAAGTGAAAGAGAAGGCGTTCCTAAAGGTTCCATGGAACTTGATTGTGCTTCTTTACCTCTTAATTTTGCAGAGACATTTCCTTCCATCAGTCTTGAGAATTCTAAGGCGAAAACTGAAGATTTGAATAGTGTATGTGATAACTTTCCTTCTGACCTAGCAGGCGAAGAGGAAGGTCCAAACTGTAGCAGCAAGTGCGGCTCTGAATTGGACGGGGTTGCTTTTGAGGAGTTGAAAAGAGGTCAGAACCATGTAGAAAGTGAACAAATAGGAACGGAACACGCTCAAGATGCTGGCATCAGAAAACCTGCTATGAACAACAACTCCCAGCCATCATCAAGCCCTCAATACGAGTACCCTGATTCAGAATTCCATTACTTCGAAGAGGAAAAATCAACCGATAAGTTCGAAGAAGGCCAGATTTGGGCACTTTATAGTGATCTTAACAAGAACCCTAATTACTATGGTCTGATAACTAAAGTGGAATCAGAGAGTTTTAGAGTTCATGTTACATGGCTTGAGGGTTACTGTGAGCGAGAGCAAGAGGTGAATTGGTATAAAAGAGAGCTACCCGTCGGTTGTGGGGCTTTTAAGACTGTAGAAGATGGTTTTGTGTCGGACACAACAGATACCTTTTCTCACCTTGTGCATTCAACAAACAAAGGGAACGATTATGTTATTTATCCACAACTTGGCCAAATTTGGGCTATCTACAAAAATTGGAGCTTTGGATGGTCATTTTCTGATGTGGAAAGTTGTGAATTTGATCTGGTGGAAATTGTTGCGGTCAGTAGTTCAGGGTTCAAAGTTCTGGTATTGTCGAAAGTAAATGGCTATAGTTGTGTTTTCACCGGTAAAGGAAGAGGGATTCCCTCAAAAATAGTGGACATACCAATTTCTGAGCGCTTGAAGTTTTCTCATAGAATTCCTGCTTTTAGACTTACTGAGGAAAGAGGTGGAAAGCTGAGAGGCTGTTGGGAGCTGGATCCTGCATCAGTGCCTGATATCTTACTCTTTGCAAATTCTTGACCGGAGCATTTGATGGCTGTTCTGGTTAAGAGTGGTCCTGTGTTATTAACAAATTTTGCCTTGAACCGGAGATTCAAGCTGTTTATATCCTTCACCATGTTGATCTGTGATCTTATGTAATGTGTATATGCTGTAGTTTTTTGTTTTAAAAGTAGTACCTGATGCCGCTGCGGTTAAAAAGACTGAGAAAAGGTTGGGGCTTAAAACTTGTGTAAACGAAGGTGACTTGGTTTTCTCTGCATAAACCGTTACGATAGCTCTGTTTCGTTTCCTTCTACGCTTTACTAACGACTGCTAGCTTCAGTATGATTCCTAATACTTTGGTTCTCTGTGAAAACTGATGGCGAAATGAAAGCTTTTTTACCTTCTACCAAAACAATACAGGAGAAGATTTCTGTGAAAGTTTTTACGCTTATCGTTTCTTTGCTCTTCTGGAGAGAAGGAACATTAGATTCCTAGTAATTGTTTATTCTGATTTGGTTTTTGGGCAGTATTATCCATAATCCTCTTTGATTCCAGACCTTAGTTTTGGATTGCAATATGGTGTTATGGTAAACTCTCTTCGGAGCTGGTAATAAATTTGGAGGTCAAATCATGTTCACACTCGATCATGATTCCCTCTACTAAAGAGATAAAATAAACAAATGTGGAAAACTTGAGCGGATCTACTTATGTAATATGACCATTTTCTATGTAATTTAAACATTTCTTCCCTTCCCCTAGACTTTTGCGTTTTTGTTTCACGAGAGGAAAAAAAAAGAGCCAAATGCTTTTCAAATATTATTTTCAGGATGTAAATAGTGGGGGAAAAGATTTGTTAAATTATCACGTAACGATATAAAAACAAAAAGGGGGCATTCCGAGAATCGAACTCGGGACCTCTCGCACCCAAAGCGAGAATCATACCACTAGACCAAATGCCCTTCTTGTTGTAATCTCAATCGTTACCTTAATGTGAAGGAAAACTAGTAATTTGTTTTTCCCTCCAAAAAGGTCTCATCACGTTCCCTCCCTCTATCGTACGCGAATTTCCAATTTAAAAAAAAAAAAAACTCTAAAAAAGTTTCTTCCTTTTATACCAGAATTTGATCTTCAACCTCAGCGGCTGGGGTCTCAGTCTCATGCGTTGAGATCCCATCCTTTCTCTCTCTCTAAAAATTTAAAGAAAAACTCTGATCTTTTTTTTTTCTTGCTCAAACTTGCCCCATTTTTCTCCAAAAAAAAAAAAAAAAAAATACAATCTTTTCTTCACGATTTCGTTCAATCACTATCAGCATTAGCTTTGATCAAGATTTCCAAAAATAGGTATTGTCCCTCTTATTCAAACACAGTGAAATCGATCTCTTTGAGAACATCCAAGTGCTATTTAGTCTTGATTCTGCTTCGGTCGATGGTGTTTTGACTGTCGATGATGCTATTTTGAGGGGATGAATCAAGGAGGGGATTTGGACTACGTCCCAGATTCAGATGAAGAAATCCAGCAAGGTCAGTCTTTAATTACATCGAAAAAACAATCTTTTTTTTATTAATCTCCAGATTATGGTTTTATTTGTTCTAGTTTGGTGCTTAAAATATTTGAATTCGTGATTAGAAATTTGGGAATCTCAAGTCAAATCCTCCTAGGGTTTTAAAAGTGATGTTTTCCCCCTTATTTTCAATTTTAAGCGAAAGAGGCATACTTTCATTTGATGTAATCATCACTTTTTTAAATAATAATAATCATATAATTTTATTATCCTCCGATATTAGCTTTTACATCCGGGTTAATTTTGTAGAAATTAAAAGAAAGTGGCCAAACTGTCACCTTTAAAAACTTGGTAGGATTTTCTGTAGCTAATTTACTATTGTTTTATTGGCTGTTATTAATAATTCTCTTTATCCTCTCAGGGTTTTCGACAAGGAGATTAAATAAAGTTTGTGTAGCTCGTAAAGCTACTGATACCAATCATCATGAAATATCTGTAGATTCTACCACTAAATCAGATGAGCTGGATCATGAACTTGAGATTCCCGGGTGTTCTCAAAGCTCTTATAGCGATAAATCTCTCAGCAGAGTAAACCGATCAAGGATCAGAAAATTATATAATGAAGAGGTTTTATGCGAGACGGATAATAGATTTATCGGCTCTCAAGAGCCTGGTGAGCTGTCTCAAGCCATTGCAATGAATGTTGTCGAAAAATTAGTTTGTGATAATGATGAGGGTTCATGTCAAGCTATTGATTCTACGAACGTTGTAGGGCTGAATTCACCTCCTATTTCGAGTGTAAGAGGAGCTCAACATTTGGCTAAATGGGTGAATCATAGAAGTTCAGTTAGAGAGCTGAGAACATTTGACTGGGTTGAGAGTGTTTCAAATGAGGGAGGCAATGATTCAAGAGAAAGAATGATATATAAGAAAAGAGAAAAATTGTGTTGCTCTGATATTAGACATCAAAGTTTCCAGGAGTCTCCAAATTCAGGCTTAATTCCAGGGATTTCATCCACCAATAAGATACAAATATCTGAAACAGAAGGAAATGATCCTCTGGAAGTTACAGATGCTGATATTGGAGATGCAGACCAAATATATGATATTGGTCCTAGCACTCAAATGGCTGCTGAAGCTATGGAGGCTTTAGTTCATGGATCTCCTTTAAACCATGGACTAGGGGAGGTCACAATTCTGAAAGCTTCAAATTTAAATGTAGATTCAAACATTGGCGTCTCACTTGAGAAGAGGATTTCTTCTACTCGTGAATTGGAAAGCATTTCGATATGCTGTAAAAGAAGAAAATCCCTGAGCGGTGAACTAAACAAGGGGACATCTAGTTCATCAGTTATGAAGGAGGTTGAAAAAACTTCGATTCCATCAAAGGCTCAAACTTGTTCCAACAAGAGGTTCATCGAAGGGAATCATCCATTTAAGGATATACCTGTTGCACCTCGAACTAAGGTGTCCAAATGTAGAAAGGTATCAAACTCGACAAAAAAAATTAGTTTGCCGATGGAGAAAGATAATCCAAGAGACAATATGGGAGATGATAAGTTTGCTGAAAATACATCCAGATTCAGGAGTTTGAAAAGAAGGGATGTCAATATCAGTTTTCGAGTTGAAAGTAGGGTTGTTTGTGCAAAACCAACAAATATTGTACAGCCCTCTGAAAGGTGTGATAAGAGCAAGGTCATTTTCAAAAGCTTTGATGATATCCTAGGTTCAGCGAAGAGGAAGAAGAGATCAGCTTCAGTGAGAAATGTCTCATCAGTATCCAGTGAGAGGAGAATTTTTTCTCTATATGATGCTCAGGATGGAGAGAATAATGCCAAATTAGATATAATTTCACCAATCAGAAAGGCTCAAGAAACACAGAAGATATCATGCAGCAAATACACAAAAAAAGTATCAACTTCAAGAGAGCTTCTTAGACTGGAAGCTACTGAACAAGAAGGAACTTGGTTATCGAAAGACTCTCGAAGAAGAAAGGATATGTCCAAGGTTTGTATTCTGTTCAGCAATCATTTGGATGTGAATGTAATCAAGCGACAGAAGAAGGTAATCTCTATATTTCATTTTCCTTTTTGACTTAAATAAGGATATGATCATACTCATATGTAGGATTATTTGCCCTTAAATACCCCCAATGCTTGTTTCTGCCCAAAGAATCTCCGAAGTTCAATAAAATTTAACTACGATACCCCAAAGTTTCTTTTTGCCCAAAAATACCCCAATGTTCAATAAAATTTAACTTTGATATCACAAAGTTTAACAAAATTTTACTTTGATACCCAAACTTAATTTTTGTGAAACTTTCAGGTAGCAAAGTTAAATTTTGTTGAACTCTGGGGTACATTTTGGGCAAAAGAAAACTTTGGGTATCAAAGTTAAACATGAGGTAAACTTTCGGGTATTTTTTTAGGCAAAAGAATATGTTGGGGTTTCAAAACTAGATAGATTAAACTTTGGCGTATTCCAGTGCAAATAACCCTGGGATATCTGATAGCTATGTTCTTTTTCTTCCTTGATAGATTTTGGCACGATTTGGAGCTCCCATAGCATCGTCGATGGAAGATGCCACACATTTTATTGCAGATAGGTTCGCACGAACAAAGAACATGTTAGAAGCAATGGCTATGGGTAAACCAGTGGTTACAAAAATGTGGCTTGATAGTTGTGCAAGAACTAGCTACTTCATCGACGAGAAAAACTACTTATTAAGGGATCTGAAGAAGGAAAAGGAGATTGGTTTCAGTATGCCCGTTTCATTAGCTCGTGCATGTCAACAGCCACTTTTGCAGGTGAGTGTTTCATTTGTTAATAGGGGGTTGTTTGTTATGCAAAAATTGCAAATGCGGAAAATATTGCATAACTTCAAATTTGTCTTTGAATATTTGATGTAAATAAGCATTTGGTGGTCGCAAAAGATGTTGGATTTGTATCTTTTGTTACAGAAAATGTATTTCCCATTGCAAATCAAGTGTTTGTCTAACTGCAAATGTAAAATTATTTACATTAATGAGTTGCGTGTCATTAATTTGATGGCATAAGATTATTTTTAAATTATTGCAAGGAATTCAAAGTTTTTACCCCTATAAAATAGGAATCCAATTGCTATTCTCAACTGTCATATTGCATTGGAAATGGATATTTGACTCCAACATTTGTTGCTGCTATATTTCCTATCAACGAAAGAACCCCGTGTTTGTCTTACATTATTTTCTAATATCAATGGTTAGCATAGGCTGTAACATCTGGGTAATCAAGCAAACTGTAGTACTTGTTCACTCATCGATAACTTTCTGATATACCGACCATATTACTCTCTTTTGTAGGGAAGAAGAGTGCTTATTACTCCAAACGTTAAACCGAGCATTGAAATTGTAAGAAGCTTGGTTAAAGCAGCTCATGGCCAGGTATTGTAAGGCAATCCACCAATAGTTGCTTGTACACCTTTTTTTTTTTTGCTCTTATGTTTACTGTGTAAGATCTGAACCATATGATAAATCCTTAAATATCAACTGCATTTTGACAAGCATGTCTGCAGTTCACTATTTCAGCATCATGAAAGTTAAAATGCATGAATTTAGAATGAATGATCTAAATTTACAGTGGCGAACTTCCCCGAAATAGTTTATAGAAGTCATCATGTTATAACAATATTGACTTGATTCTGCTGAAAAATGGGAATTTTCCTTTTACTTTCCACTTCATCATGATTCACTAAATATCCTTCCTTTTGATTTATATATATCTAGTGAAGTAGGGGGGAAAACTAGTTGGTACGAGAAAAATTTAACTGGCATCAATGAACTGTGTTTAATGTAGATTTCGTCTTTTGTAATGTAATATGACCCACAAGAAAAGGATACAAGGAAGATAATATGCAAAACGAATTTCGTTAAGAATTATCGTGAATGGTTATCATCAGTTTTCATAAATTCACAAATTTACCCTTCTGTATAAATATTAACAAAGCAAAGTTCAAGCAGGTATTATCAGAGGGAAATATTTGCAAACTTGGAACACGGAGTGACAATGTACCAGATGATCTTTTGCTTATTTCATGTGAAGAAGATTATGCAGCTTGTACCTCTCTCATTGATAATGGTAAAACTCCTCTTCAGCTGCACCATTTAACTACTAATATTCATTAAACAAATTGGACATGATACTTGAACCTATGGATGTTGTATGCAGGAGTAAAGGTTTTCAGTTCTGATCTACTACTGAATGGGATCATAATTCAAAAACTGGAGTTTGACAGGTTAGTTTTGCCAACGATTTATTTCACGAAACTATCATGAACTCTGGGGGGTTCACACAAAAATATCATAGATTTGTTTTTATTAGAAAAAGGCCGGTTCATTGCAGATAGATCCCCTGTACTATCGCCCAACTGCAGATAGACACCCTGAGTTCAATTGTTGTATATAGCCATTCTTCAGCATGAACTTTCAATGCTGCTGATAATATCATGAACTAGTCGCTTACAACATCAATGGCTTAGATTAAAAGGTCGAAATTAACCTTGAAAATAGAAGAGGTACCTGACGATATAAAAGATATTATCACATATATGAGATAAAATTGACCAAACGCATCACATGTGAAGTACATACCTGACAACTTAATTTACCTGTCGTCGGACATAGTAATTTAGTTGATGGTAGTTTTGTGAATTTACTATTTCTTTAATCGGGTTGTACACATGGTTAGTATATTTCTCATTCCTCTGACATAATCTTGTTCTATGCAGATACCAACTTTTTGTGAAGCGTGTTAAGTGAACCTGCTCATAATATGATTTAGAGGGGGAAGAATGCAGTGTTCAATGAACTTATGTGAATATCTCGTTCAGAAATTTTGACTTTCTATACACCCAAATTGGTGATACACCAGTTTTTGTGAAAAAAAATTCGCTAATCATGATTTGGTGGTTTTGTATATTCGCTAATCATGATTTGAAAAATGATGATTCTCTTCCTTGTGTTACCCTTCTAAATGAAGTTCAGAAGTTTGTCATTTTGATATTGCTCTGGGATTTATACTGCAAGCTCATCAGCTGTTAAAATCAGTTTGTTTCTTTAGCGAAGTTAATATTTGAAGTAAACAAATACGAGAATGATAAGTACTGGTTCTTTATTGGTTCCCTTTGTATCCAATAAATTGATCCCACTGAATAATTTTTCTCATAAATGAATGTGATGATGTGCAGCTACATTCTAAAAGCTTATTTGCACATAGATATCCAAACTTTATTCCATTTTTAACTATGATACCCCCTTTTTAAGTCATTTTACCTTAAATATTCCTGAACTTTGGGGGTATGTTTTAGGCGAAAAAACTTTGAGGGATGTTATTTTGAATCCAAATTCAACCCAGACATCCTTCAACCATTTCATTGAATATTTATTGGATATTAATATAATTATTTTATTTTAGTTAAAAATGATTTTTAGATGACGTCAAATCCATTGTTGGAAATTCTTCTTTATGGTGAGGTTGCGTAATTCCTTAGCTTGAAATTTTTTTTTTGTCAAATTTTGATTTTGGGGTTTTAAATCTAAATATAGAATATACAAAAAAATTATAGAAAGGGAAAGGTGGGTAATAACATAAATTACAAAAGACTAAAGGTTTTCTTTCCTTGGGAACTACCTTAAAAATATGATTATTTTACAGAAACCACCTTTTATTTTTAGTTTATATATAAATCACATTTAAAGTGGATTTTTATTCTAATCAACCGCCTCCTAACTAAATCTTCACTAAAAAACTAAAAAGTAATCTTAAAAAATATACGTTTTAGGTTATGCAATTTGTATTCTTATTAGACAAAAATGTTAACAAATCAAGTGCCTTGATTGTGAGTTTTTAAGGGTATTTTCATGGGGTTTCGGTGATGAATTTGACTAGGAGGCGGTTGATTGGAATAAAATCCACTTTAAATATGGTTTATCTATGAATTAAAAATGAATGATGACTTATGTAAAATGACCATATTTGTAAGGTGGCTTCTACGTGGGGTTAAAAAAAACAAGATTACACTTTGAACGGCCTACGGTTCGGTTTCAGAACGGGTTGACCATCGAACCCAGCGAACCCGATCCGTCCCCGCTTGCATGATGAAGTGCGTGCCCGGGCTTCGGAAAGAACCCTAGCTTCTCCATCAAAACCCCTCCGCGTTCCAAAAGCTACCCACTTTTGCCCCCCAATTCTTTTGAATTTAGCGGGGATTTTGATCTTTATTAGGGCTTTCCAGTTAATTGTTCTCGAGCTCTCTCATGGCCGAACCGATCGAGCTGAACGATGACGCCGTCGAGCGCCCCAGAATCAAAGAGAAGAAGAGGAAACGAGCGCGGATTGGATCGGACGAGCGAGGGGTCTGCTACCTGAGCAGGGTCCCACCCCACATGGACCCATCGAATCTCCGCCAGATTCTTTCCAGATTCGGGGAGATTCAGCGCGTTTACTTGGTTCCCCAAGGTAACTCGCCACTTTGATCATTTTCAGAGGGTCTTGTTTCTTTAAGGCTGTGTTTGGTTTGAAGTAAAATGAGGGAAATGAAAATGAAAAGGAAAAGGAAAAGGAAAGAAAAAAGAAAAGGAAATGGAAGTGAAATGAGTTCTTTTCTTATGTTTGGTTACTAAAGAAAAATTAAAAGAAAATCTAGAGGAAAATAAACAATGTTATTTCCTTGGTCATCGTCCGCAATTTTTTAAAATTGTTCCTACTAGTCAATTTAGTGATGAAATGTCTCCTGGCATTTCTTGGTTCCGCATTTTTCTTTAAATATCAACATTCACAAAAAAATTTTTATTTATAGTCAAATTTAGTAACGAGATGACTCCGGGCGTTTCTTGGTTCCACATGTTTCTTTAGATATTTAACCTTCACAATTTTGTTAGTCGTTGCTTATGGTCAATCTAGTAAAGAAATGTCTCCTGTAGTGCGCGAAGTAGATATCTTATTTTCGCCGTGTTTTTTTTCCCCTGCATTGTCTGCGTGCCATGGAGTGGCATGTGTATCAGTGTAAGCATCACATTTGATGCGTTGACATTCTTTGTTAACTATATTCATATACGACTTGTAATGTTGGTGTGATTTTGTGTGGCAGACCCGGCAGCTCAAGCGAGACGTAAACAAGGCAGCGGATTTCGCGGAAAGGAATTCTCAGAAGGGTATGCGTCCCGCATCTTTCTTTTCCCCTCCCTTTAGAAGTTGCAATGTGATGGGCCTAGTTAGTTTCATATCTTTTACGAAATTAGTGAATTATGCTCCTGTATGAAACTTCTGTTTGGTCCTTTATTTATTGTTTTAAAATTGCGTAAAACGGGTACTGAAACGTTAGCTGGAAGAACAACATTCTCTTGCTCGATCTGTTCAAAATTCAATTTCTGAGGTAGTGGCTGGCTTCTGTTTTATCTGCGAAATTTACTTGAAAAAGCGATTTTGTTCTACTTACAAAGAACCTTAGCAGAGACTCTCCTCGTCAACTTGTAGGCATTTTCTCCTTTTTTGTCTTTTGCTATCTCAAAGTTGAAGCTTTAACTTTGTGTTTTACTAATTATGCAGGTGGGTTGAATTTACAAGGAAAAGCGTAGCAAAGATGGTTGCAAATATGCTAAATGGTGAACAAATAGGTAAATACAATTCAACTCTGTGATCCGCAAGTTTGGTTTGTACTATAGATGACGCCAGCTTCTGGGATTTTCTTCGCACGGTACATTCTATGTCATGATTTTACCTTAAGTATAATAAGTAAAACTAGACTCGTAGCGACCTAAGCTTGTACACTAAAAAGGATTTATGTAGGCAAAAGAAAAAGGGAAGGGGCTGTTGTTTTTGTATTCGAGCAAGAACGCTATTATTGTTTCTTTATCATATTTTAAATGTGGATGTAGCTTGTACCTGTGTATGTGTGATGAGCGTGCTTGATTTTAGGTGGCAAGAGGAGGTCATCGTTTTACTATGACACATGGAACATCAAGTATTTAAGTAAATTTAAATGGGATGATTTGACCAGTGAAACAGGTAAGTGATGCTCTGTATATGCTGTCTGGATGTTAGATCTACACAATTTGTTTGACATGAGGCGCTTTTGATGCAGCTGACAAGAACCACACTCGGGAACAGAAGCTAGCCTTAGAGATATCTGCTGCAAAGAGAGAGCGAGACTTCTACTTGTCAAAAGTTGATCAATCTCGTGCTTTGAAGTCCATGAAAGAACGTGTGAAGAAGGTCAGTATGCTTCATTCCTTGATTCTTGCTGCACTACGGTTCCTCTAGGTTTCTACAGATGTTCGCCTCGGAATCTAGTTTATGGGTCATACTCACTGTACTTTGTTGGAAGTTTTCTACTTCATGGGTTTGGTAAAGATTTTACGGAAATAACTTTTCATTTGTAAATATTAAACCTTTCTATTTTGGCACTAGACTGAGAGCAGAAATATTTAGGTCATCATTATAGGGTTCTACTTGTGCCTATCTGATTGACATAAAGTGGAGAGAAATATATTAGGTAAAAACTTTAAAAATTCAAAGAAACGACTTAGATGATATTTAGATGAGCTTGTCATCATAATAGAGCAAATTTTTGATTAGGTGAGGTTACTATTTCTTGAAGCTGATATGCAAGTAATTTGTAGGTTCAGGGCCACCTTCCCATCTTACCTCCAGTCGACCCCGCTTCCCTATGTGTCTTTACCACGTTTTGTTTAAACTATCACTTAGATATCCCTATGAAGGTCCTCTAACATGTGCTAGTATTGTTCCATAGAAAATTTATCAACTTACAGAATGGATTACTAAAATTGGAATTTTTTTTGATAAATACTTGATTATGTAGAACATAACCAACTTCTGAGAATTATAATAGACCTTGTTCTGTTAAAACTTAGAAGGTTTGATAGATCAGCATGACTTTTACATTTAAATGAGCTTCTTTTTAGATCAAAACGTTTGACAGGGAACAGTTACTGAATGATAACATGTAGAAAAAAATACCTGACAACACGTAGAAGAGCTTGGATGGTCGAGATGCTTTCCATTAAACTAATTCAAGTTTGTATGAGATGTGAGGCATCAAATTGTAAAGAGTTAAAGCATAATAAAACAGCAACTCAATAGTTAGAGTGGGATTGATACGTGGAAAGACCTGTAGGATGTGGATGTCATCTTATTTGCAAAGCAATAATTGGTTGAGCCCAGCAAATTTACGAACAATAAGTTTCGTATTATCTTTTATGACATCGAGCAATAAAAAGCTGAATCTTTTTTAAATAGGGATTATTGTTGTTTGTTTGGATGAGAGAGATAAAGTGTCTTGTCTTTAAGATTTGAGATTTATCTTATGACAATCTTCAATTACTGCTAATACAAAAGCTTTAACTCACAGAAACAGAAGATTCAAGAAACAGAGTCAAATAAAAGAGCTGGGGATGTACAAGAACCTAAGATCATTCGCAAGTTTCCACAAAACAGGCCGGTAACTGAAAATACCGATGTTCGGATCAAGACAGTGCTATCCAAAGATTTTTTGGCAGGGGTATGTTCTGTCTTTACTTTTGATCTAGTGCATACTGTTGATTGTATTGTATTTAAGGTCATCTTTTGGGCTCTGTCCACTGCATTATCGCGTTAACGATGTGATGCACCAGAGGGACGCCAACATTTGGATCAGTGCACAAATCTCTGAAGTATACTAAACAAACGGTTGACATCTCTTAGGTGCATCATTAGTGCAGTGTAAACGAACCATTGTATGCTTTCTCATTTTGAGATACTTACCCTCTGAGCTGTTGTGAAAATCTCATAATGCTGCAGGTGTTCAGCGCTGGTTCGTAAATTTCCATGATCAAGCTCCTCATGGATATTGTGGAAAGATGCACCAAGGAGATGAATTAAGAACGTGCTATCAAGTGCATCCTCATAAATTCAAAGCATATCATCTCCACTGGTTTAAATTTACTTGGATCAAACTATATATGTTAATAACAAGATACAAGTATTTTTTGTTACAGTAATTACATAATTGTAATATCTTTCTTGTTTGTGAACTTTGAAAGATAAAACGATGAGCTCATTTGCAATAACATTCTTTGTTTCTTATATTTTATTTTATTTTACATAATTGTAATCACCAACACATAAGATAGGATCCTCTATTGAAGGAAAACATCCTTTTTCCTATCCACTTGTAAAAAATAATTAATATTTATATAATCTACAATATAATATATAAAAATATCATAAGAATAGAGCATATTATATAATAATAAATATAGATAACCGGCAACCGATAGGATCCATTGAACCCGAGCCCATATATAGTCACAAAAAGCACTCTCTCTTTGATATCTTACCAAAAAAAGAAGTTTGATTGCAGCAAACACTCCTCTATAGCACCACTCATCCACAAACTATTTTATTAGCATCTACATATTCTAAACGCAAGGTTGAACACGCTTTTGTTAGGTTGATACAAGACAATAAACATATATATTTTTTAATGAGAAACCAATTCGGAATCGAGTCATCCTATAAATATAAGTACTAACAAAGTCTTTCTATAAAACTTGATCGGACCTCAGAGTTTACGTATGCGTACGTAGAATAATTTATTTAAGGCTCCCTACTCCCTTGTCGCATTTGCTAAGTTTCCCCTTCTCTAGATGCCAAATCTTGTCCCTCGCACTATCTTGAGTCTCTTGACCAAGAAACCCACTCTCGGACGTCTTGGGCTCACGCCCACCGAGCACACGTTTTCTTAGTTCCGTCACGATCCATTATTGCAACCTCCCCTAATATCGTCAAATCAAGTGTAAGGGTACATTTCACAAAGCCCCCCTCGGAACTTTCGGACGTTTCCTTCGGAACCCTCCTCGACGTTAGACCCGCTTTAAATTTTAAGGCGTCTCACGTAACCTCCTCTATAAACTTGTCTTTCCATTAACACCGTTAGAGGGGCCGTTGGGGCAATCCGGAAGTTGGGAGGGTTTTGTGAGACGCCCCAGAACTCGAGGTGTTTTGTGGAATGAAAAAAGTTCAGGGGGTTTTGTGAAATTTTCCTTCCAAGCTATAAATGCCTTATCCTCTTCTTAATTACATCTCTAGACAATTTACTCTCTATCAATGGATAGTAATCAAGATTACCAAGAAGTCCCCCATCTCACGGAAGAGACTGGGGATTCTGAGGCCATTTTGGAGCTCAAGTCTTACCATGATGATTATGATGATGATGGTAATTATGATTATGATGACGATGATAGAGAGTCATGCAATGGTGGTTGTAATTTTAACGGTGTGAGCGACGACTACGACGACGACGAAGATGAAGCTGAGGAGGAGATGACATGGTCGACATGGGTGACGACGGCGAGGTCTGAGCGGAGGAAGAGGGGGGAGGAGGAGGAGGAGAGGTCGCCGGCGGTAGTGGATGAGGAGGAGAATCGATTGTTTTGGGAGGCTTGCTTAGCTTCTGGTTTTCCTTGATGACTTTGTGCTTTGTGAATAATATTATGCTTTTTTTTCCTTTTTTTTTTCCTGATGTGAAGGATTGTTATACACTTTGATTTCTATTCTTTGGTCAAATTAGGGGCTGTTTGGTTGGCTAAAAAAAAGAAATCAATTATAAAAAATCTATTTTTTACTTAAGATGAGATGAGTTCCCACCATATTATTGGACGATGTAATTTATTTTTAAGGAAACTAATTGTATGATTTTTTTTTAAGGAAATGGATAGAAATCTAGAAATCAACTTTTAATGGTTTCCTTATCCAATTTGCTTTTCTTTGATTTTAGGAAATCAACCAAAAGAGGCCCTTAGTTAAAGGGTAAGTTTTTAGAAAACCCCATTCAATCTTAGAGGATTCGGATCCTCTCCAAATATGTATCTTTAGTAGAGCACACATTTTGATTGCTTTTAGTTTTACCAACAACAATAAGTTATTAACACTGAATTTTCACAGCAATAAAAATACAAAATTGGGAAGTGTGTAGGGGTGTTAACGGAGCGGATACGGTTCGGATATGGCACTTACCATATACATATCCGCTTACCTATCTCGGATATGGATACGGATATACGTCGGTAAGAAAAATTCATATCCATATCCGTCAAAATCGGATACGGTTACAGATATAGATGCGGATATATAAACGGATATGCATGCAGATACAAAAAGGATATGAGAAAACTAGATAGTATTCAGAAAAATATAGTCGTGTGATATAAAAAGAGTTCGTTAATATGTTCATTATGATTGAAAAGCTAAGATTAGACATCTTGATCATCAAAATTAACCATAAATCCATAATCTAAGAATCGAAACTATCGTAAGAGTATGACCAATATGTATTCAGATATTTTCGGATACGGATACAGATATTTCACTACAAAACCATATCCGTAACCATATCCTATCGATTATAGATTTGAGTACGGTTACGGATATTTCCTCGGATACGGATATGGTTTGGCACCCCCTAGAAGTGTATCCAACTAAATACCAATTTGGTAATTCAGCCGTAGCTGAAAATTGATATGAATATTTTAATATTGTCAACTAAGGGGCTGTTTGGTTCGTTTCCTAGATATAAGGAAATGCATTTCCATATACAAAAACACAAGTTTTGAGTTTTCCAAAATTTTCCAAGAAATAGATTGTTTCGCTTTGGTTCGCACAAAAAAATAGTGGGAAACCAGTGTATTTATTTTTCTTGTGTTTGGTTCGCATGGAAAAAAAAAGAAAATTTTTGTTTATATGGCAAAAAGCTGACGTGACTGCAGTTTTCGTCGATTTCACGAGGTTGAGGAAGGAATTGGGGAAGAGAAAAAAATTTGATGTGGCGGCGATTTTCATCGAGTTTCCCTTCTTCAACCCTAGCAAACCAAAGATGGGAAAAAAACCGACGGAAAGCTTATATCCTACGTGGCCACAAAAAATCTGATGTGGAGGTGGTGTAAAACTTTTCCACCAAGTTAAAAAACGAACCAAACAACCCCTAAACTAAAAGTACGAAAATCACAAAGCGTGTGTCCTAGTAAAAGAAACCGATTTGATAATTTAGCCGGCCCTAAAATATCTTTTCTCTGTTCTTTTTATTAAGGGGCTGTTTGGTTCGCTATTATAAGAGGTGGAAAACTCAGAAAACCCCTCCACGTCAGATTTTTAGCCCTCCACGTCAGTTTTTTTGTTTCCGTCCATTTCTTTGTGCCGCTTTGGTTCGCTCGGATGGAAGAGGGAAAACTCTGCTGAAATCGCCGCCAGCTCAGATTTTTTTCCCTCTCCGATTTCCTCCCCCAACCGAGTGAAATTGATGAAAACTCTGCCACGTCAAATTTTTTTTTCTTCTCTGCTTTGTTTACAAAAGTTTTTCTTTTTTTCTATGCGAACCAAACACAAGAAAAATAAATACATTGGTTTCTCACAATTTTTTATGTGCGAACCAAAGCAAAACAATCTATTTCTTGGAAAAGTTTAGAAAACTCAAAACTTGTATTTTTTTACATGGAATTGTATTTCCCTATATCAAGGAAACGAACCAAACAGCCCCTAAAGGTTTTTTGTACATATATCTCTCAAAAGTCTTGATTTATTTTTGCATCTCTCTTTTTAAAAATGGTTAATTCTGAATTTTTTACGTTCTCCAACGGATATATCTCTTCATATACCAACACATCTTTTGTCATAAAAGGATTATAGCCGATCGAAACCAAATAAAATTTCAACACTCATCAATGAAACAAAACAGTTTCTTAAATATTTTACGGAGATTTCAGCCCACGCACCAAAAATTGAGGGGTAAAATTGCAAATACGAAAGATGTAAGGGGTGCAATATGTGCAAAAACCCCAAAATTTTATAAATAAATTTGTAAAATAGGGCCCAACCGGGTTCGAACCGGTGACCTATTGATCTGCAGTCAATTGCTCTACCACTGAGCTATGGACCCAACGCGTATAAATAAATTTTTGATTCAGTATTATATAGAGTATAGGCAAAAAGCTAATTGCGATACACAGATAATTAATTGTTTTTAGATTTATCACTTTTCGTTCAATTTCACATACAATATTCAATAAAGTTTGATATTGGGTTAAATAGACAAAAAACATTAATTATAGATCATATAAATCGTAATTTTTCAAGTACACGTACTTAATTTTATAGCCTATGAAATTCGCAGAGTTTCGAGATATACATATTGAATTATTATCGGGTTAATACGGACAAAAATAAACAAGAATATTGGGTTATGAATTTTCAAAATGTGTATTGAAATTGACATTAGTTCGAAAACGAACAAAAACAAAAAAATGTGGACATTTTTATTACACGTATTGTTATTATGTCAAAAAAAAAAGAATAAAAACAAAAACTTATTTCCACTTGCGAAAGTAGTTCAATCTTCAAACTTTTACCTCAGATTGACTTGAGTTTCACACTAGATTCTAAATATTAATATTAAACTTGGACTACGAAATAATGCAATTATTTTAACTGACTAATGTTTAATTATTAATTAGGAGCCTACTTTCAAACAAATCAAAGGATTTGAAAGTAAAATTTAAAATATTAAAATGTAAGGATCAAATATTAAGATGGTGTTGGGAGGGCCTTATTTTAGAGGCTTTTAAGCTATGTTAGTTTTTGGTGACTTTTGGTTTTTATGAGAAAACTTGTACAACAAATATTTGGGTAGAATGATAATTTGTTTGGTCAAACTTAGCTTGCTTAGGTGAGCTTATAAGTTAATTTTATAAACGCTCGGATATACCGGCTTTTTAAAACGGGACATATAAGCAGACTTATTTGATATTTTACGAAACAGGTAGACATGGAAAAAGCTAATTTAAATGGTATTTAACCAAAAAAAAAAATAAGCTGATCCAAACACCCTCTAAATCAGCATTAACTTTGGGATCACATACCACAAAAGATTACATTTGTTTTGACGTTACTATTTCCATCTACGATTTTAGCCTCCGCTTAATTTTAACGCTGTCATTAATACGCCAACATTTTGTTTTACAATTTTAACCTCCGCGTAATTTTAAAGCTAATATTTTTTTTGGTTTACGATTTTAACCTCCGCTTAGACTTAACGCGAGCGCGTATCTGAGACTGAGAATTTCACCGCATCGCTCCTCTATAAATAAGAAGACGCTAGCGCCTCCTCTTTCAGTTCAAATCTTCCACCCAAAAAAAAAAAAAAAAAAAAAAA